TTTTTTTTTTTTTTTTTTTTTTTTTTTTTTTTTTTTTTTTTTTTTGTACCAGGGATTGAACTCGGGACCTTGTGCTTGCAAAGTAGGTGGCAGCACCACTGAGCTAAATCCCTGGCACATTTGCTAATTCTTAATAGGTTCCATCAGATGGTGTAGGTCATCCACTACTTGGCAACACCCAAAGCTGTCCATTTGAGGTCTTCCCTCCACTTCAACCCTCCCCAAGCACAGACCAGGTGCCTACCGTAGGGCTTCCAGGTGGGGATGGAAAAAGTAGGAGGAATCAAAGCTGTAGGGGGCTAACAGCCTAAGAAGTAGGCAAAGGTAAGAAGTGCACACCTTGGGAATGAGGTGAGCAGAAACTGGGGCAGGGGCCATTCTGGGAGGTAGAGACAGAGTCTTCAAACCAAGCTGGAGATTTCCTGGAGAGGGGCACTGGAGCTGATTCGGAGCTGTGCTAGGAGTGGGGATGGATCTCTCTGTACAAAGTATAGGGATAGACAGCAGCAAAGGATTCTAGAGCCAGAGCTGAGCATAAGTCTAGGTCTTGGGTAAAGACCTAGAGGACACAGGGATGGGAAGGTCACACGGAAGAGGATGTGGCTAGGAGAATGGACCTCACTGGGCTGCAAGGGCAGAGTCCCCAGGGTCTGAGTAGGAGCCTGAGGTACTGAACCTGGCTTTGGCTGGAAGATCTGCAACCAGCCTGTCTCCATGGGGAGGGAGCTATTACACAAATGGGAAACACTTAAATAAAACAAAACAAAACAAAAAACCAGGGAGGATACTCTCTTTAGTTTGTCTCCTTCAGAGTTAAAGTGCACAGAAATGTTTAGAAAAGCAGAGGGGCCTATAAATGTGGACTTGAATCTTTCAAAGCAGTCTTTTTGCTCTACCACTGAGCCACCTGCCCTTCAAAAATTTTATTTTCAGATGGGGCCTTGCTAAATTTTCCAGGCTGGCCTTGAATTTATAATCCTCCTGCCTCAGCTTCCTTAGTAACTGGGATTATGGACATGTACCACAGTGCCCAGCTAAGATTTTCCTCATCAATTACTTTAAACCACCTTTCCCCCCCCTTATTCAAAGCAAACAAAAAATAACAGTCTCTCCAATATTTCAATATTTTAGCAAGTACTTCCCTAACTGCCAGTGTCTACTCTCCCATAAACTTCATCTGTGGCCTGAAATGTACTCTGAAGCCACAAAGAATTGTCTTCCCCTTATTCAAAGCAAACAAAATATAACAGTCTTTCCAAGATTTTAATATTAGCAAGTACTTCCCTAACTGCCAGTGTCTACTCTCCTATAAACATCATCTGTGGCCTGAAATCTACTCTGAAGCCACAAAGAACCGTCTTGGGGGTTAAGTGTCATCACTCCTCGGTTTCACCAATGAGAAAAGAGTAGCTTGGACTGAGTTTTGTGGCCGAAGTCAAAGCTAGCAGGTGACACAATTATGGTGCGTTTCCATTAAACCACAGGGCTCACGGGGGGGTAGCCTTGTGAACAAACAGATGGTTCCAAGATGGGAGGGGGTGCCCAAGAAGTCACAGGCCACAAGCCAGTGCAGAGGTCCTCAAAAAGGGATGGGTCGCACCTGACGGCCACCCTCAGCTTAGGTTAGCACTTCCTATAGGGCACAGAATCCATGACTCAGGGCTCTGGCCTCCTAGCCTGGAGAAAGGTCCTCATTATGTGACTATACAGCATATATCCAGAAGCATTCACTTAAAATTTTCCTTTTGCCTGAGCCCTAGGTCTGTTCTGCCACACATGGTAAGAAGTCATTGTCTACACAAAACAGGGCCTGACGCAGAAGGTCACCACTTCCCTGGAGGTAACTGGACCGAGGGCTGAGTGCCTCCTCAGCTTTGGGAGGAGGGTCTGAATCTGCCGAGTTAAGTATCAGTGCAGACACTTCCTTGCTAGAGTGCCTCCATTTATTCTTCTATAAAATGGGAATAATACCCATAAGATTGTTGTAAGGATTAAGGAAAATAATACACATCAACTGTTAGAGAAGCATTAGTAAACTGTATGCATATTTTTAAAGATAGAAGTTTATAAAAGCTCTTTGTAAATCACAGCTTACTTTAGCAATGTGTTATGATTATTATAAATCTGTTGATTTCCTTTCGATTTTTCATGGCTCTGTAGAGACCATTGTTTAGGTTAAGTACAAAATAATTTTGTAAATGCTAAAAAGCGGACGAGAACTTGCCTAGGACATTGCTCAAGGGCAATAATGGAACACTTTTTACAGGCCAGAGTCTCTGTGACTCAAAGTCAGCAGGGGATCAGGACGGTTGCACTCTTCTGCTTCCTCAGGAAGGGTGGAGGCTGAGAGGTGGGGCAGTCTGTTTCCAGACAGCTAATTCAGGGATTCCCAGCTTGCTAAAGATTTTAGAAATGTGTTTCTGGAGGGTGTGGGGAAGACTTCTGCTCAGGCTCTGTGTGTGGGAAAATGCAGGCTTGCTGCGGGGCACGGAAAGGCTTCAGGAGGCTCATACCTCTGCTTCCTGAGTCTCATGCCTGTGTCCTCTGGGAGACTAGTGCTCTGATCACCATGGCAACCATCCCTTACCCCATGCCTACAGCAAGGCTGGTCCTGAACAGGCCTGGCCATGTGTGCTGATGCAAAGCCACAAAATTAAAGTGCTCATACCAGGTTTGCTATACAGTACAAAAGGCCTGTGAGATCCTAGCGCTATGCTTCTTATAACATTCCACAACGTAGTTCTTCAAACTACACTTTAAGGGACACAGGAAAGAGGGCTTCTCCTCGTTTCTAGTCTGAGGCTAATCTTTGGCAAATTCATCAACTCACGCTATAATTTTCGGCATAGCCAGAGATACCTGGCTGCCTGGTAGATGGGGAGTAGGGGTGTAGTAGAAAGTAAAGGAAACCTTCAAAAGGCTGCCCAAAGATACAATGGCACTCACCTGCAATCCCAGTTACTTAGGAAGCTGAGACAGGAGAATTGTGTGTTTGAGACCAGCCTGAGCAACACAGCAGGGCCTAGTCAGAAAGAGAGGGGTGGGGGAAAGAGGGAAGGAAAAAAGGAGGGAGGGAGAGAAGGAAGGATCCCGAAGAAATTCTTAGTAACAATTAAAGGAGTAGTTATTACAATAGTAATAGCATATATGTGTGTACTACTATGATAATAATGACATAATGCATAATGTTCTAGTATGACAGCAATAGCAAAAATATATGTGTATGTATACTATTACGGGAATGACATATATATACATATTTGTATGCATGTGTGCATTTTTATGGCAGCTACCTGACATCATGCTGTGGACTTTACATTCCTTTCCTAAATCATGAAGTTCAATATATTCACTCACACATTCCCTCCATAAATATCCAATATGCTGCACAGAGCACCAAGGACTGAGACTCGTAGGACAAAGAAATGACCCCTGCCCTTAAAGGATAGTGGGTGGAGACTGACAAGGATATTGGTGATCCAAACACAATGTGACAAACCTCCTTAGCAATACTGGAAGTATCAAGAGCCCATACAGAGTCCAGTTGACAAAGTCTCAGGAGGTATCTGAGAAGAGACTGACAAGATAAGGAGGTGACACTGGAGTTTCACCTTAGAGAACAGAAGGATTGTCCTGGGAAAGAAGGAAGGACAGCAGAGCTTCAGCTGGTGCTGCTAAAGCATAGGCACAAGGTGGGAGCTGGGGGAACTAACAGGAGTGTGACAAGGAGGGACAAGCCCTGTGCATCATACATGGAGCTGCAACCAACCTGTCTCGGTGATGGGTGGCCAAAACGAAACAACCAACCAAACCAAACAAAAAACCCCTGCCTGAAAATAAAAATAAATAATAAGGGCTGGGGATATAGGTCAATGTGAGGTCTGGGCTCAATTCTCAATACTGCAAAAAACAAAATGAAAGAAACCTCCACTGTGGGTCATGAAGTGCAAAGGATTCTGTTTTCTCAAAACCATAGGGATAAAATCATGAATGCACCCAATTCCCAGCATAAAAGCATTTATAGATGAAGCCACTACAACACTGCATTTTCACATGAATCCCGACAGCAATTCCGTGCAGGTTTTATTTCTTGGGACTGTCTCATGATTGCTATCATCACAATAAGTAATATCTATTGGGCTCTGACAATGTGCAGGCATTATTCTAGCCATTTCAAGTGTATGGATTCGTGTAACCCTCATATGCTGCCCTAAAAATTAGATATAATTACCCTCACTTTACAAGGAAGGAAACTGAAACTCAGGCAGGTTAAACAATTTGCTAAAATTACAAGCAATTAAGAGTTATACCCAGCCAGCTGGGCATCAGAGCCCATATTCCTGCCCTACCTAATCCTAGGCCACCTCTGCTTCCTTTGCAGAGGGCTCTTTCCACTTGCTCCCAGCAGCAGGGTAAAGGCCCGGCCATCAGAGCCCTGGTGTATAGCAGGAGGCTGGCCCATGGGTTACCTAGGTCAAGGTGCAGGGCAGGCCCATTCCCAGCTGGGGCAGCATCAGGGGCAGCGGGAGGTGCAGTTTGGCCGCTGTGGAACTCCCAGCGCTTCATCTGCAGCTGCTGCAGCCAGTACAGCATCACTTGCTTGGTGGTGGCCTGAGAAGCACAAAGATTAGTTGGCAAGGTCCTGTGCCTGCAGGGTGGCACTGGGTGTGGGATGAGGGGAAGGTGTGGGTTGGCACCCACCTCTAAAGCACCACATGCTTCTTGGCTATGGAAAATAATCAGGCCCTGGTCACCCACTCAAAGGTTCCTTAACCTCTCTGAACCTCCGTTTCCTCAACTGTGCTATAATGACAATAATGGCCTTTCATGGAATGGTTATGAGAGTAAAGTGAGACAGGAGAAATAAAATGCACAGTACCCTGACACATGACAAGTACTGAAAATGAAAATGCACTCACTGGACAGAAGAATAGATGATGGGTAGAAAGAGGAGCTTTGGAATTCTAATTTTGAGTGCACCCTGGTGTTTCTCTCTCTCTCTCTCTCTCTCTCTCTCTCTCTCTCTCTCTCTCTCTGACATCTGCAAGTCTTAGCTGACTTTTGGTGGAATGGGGGTAATCCCTCCTGCTGGGGGGGATGCACTGAAATCAGATATGAATGGGGACTGGAAAATCATGTGTACACTATGATAACACGGTAACACCTTCCACATGGTCCAGCACTGTAAACAAGTTAGAAGTTGAGGCTGGTCATTAGTTTCCCGATACTAGATGGTCCAAACACCTACTCTCACATCTATTAGCTCACTGGATCCTCCAGGAAAGAGGCAAGGCAAGGCAGCCCTTTCTACAGAACTGTGGTTGCAGAACTGGTCCCACACCTCTAATGTCCTACTCCTAGATCTGAAATTTTCTGTAATTTATGGCCAGATTTGTGGCTTACACATAGAAGGCATGAAATTAGCTGATGTGAACACAGAGGATGGGCAACTCGCTGCGAGCAGATGATAAGTCTCCAGAGCCTATGATCAAGGCCACATGAGAAAAGCAGGTTATGTGGCAACCAAGGCATACTCTCCCTTTTAAGAGGGTCAAAGATGAGGCATAATCTAGGCTGGGGCTCCATGCAAGAGGCTCCCACCTGTGATGTAGGTATCAGAAAGATCAAATGATGCCCACCAGTCTCTTTCCGTAAACTTTTGCTGAGGGACCTCCCAGGGCTTCACTATGATATTAAAGCTGATGAGTTCCAGCAAAACCCAAATACTGTTTTATTATATAATTCATTTTTGAGCACCTACCATGCATGTCAGAGACTACAATGGGCACTGGAAGATACCATGATGAGTCAACACACACGCTTAAGATCTAGGTCTAGTTAGGAGAACCATGCCCTATGGGGAGCTTCTCATCCTGAGTTCCCCTCCTGTCAGTGACCCAAAGAGGTAGCCAGACAGTTACTCAGGTCATTCCTGACATCTCTACCATATTCAGTTTCCCTAACATACCTGTCCACTTCCATCTGTCTTCCTTCCCAGGGCAATGGCTTGAGCTCAGCCATCATTCCCCTCCAGATCACCTCCTGATGGATTCTCTGACTACTACCCTCCCTTTCCCCTAATTTATTCTCTGCTCAATAGTCAGACTGAGCTCTCTAAACATTCTAATCTCACTGTTTCCTTGGCGAAGGCTCTTAAGACAACTTCCATAGTCTACCAGGCAAAGTCCAAGCTAATCAGCCTAACTTACAAATGCACCTCCCCATTTGGGCTCCTGCCTATGTCCCAGACTCCTATAGCTTGCCTGGACACTTATACTCTATCTTTGCTCACAGGGCTCTCTTGGCCTGGAGCACCCTTTTCCCTGTTGTCTGTTTGCCAAAAACCTAGTTCTTTCAAGGCTCAGGCAATGCTTTTTTGGCTACCTCTCCTCCTGCCACACATTTTTCTTATGCAGACTTGTCACATTGTCACTATGGATATTTTACTGTGACTACCATTTCCTCTATCAATCTTACCTACCACATCTTAAGCTATTTGGGAGTTGGGGGCAGGACTGACTTGGCTCCTCAACCCAGAACCTAGCACAAAGCCAGACACACTCATGGATCAATGGCATAGTAAAAACCACACATTGGAAACCCTGTACACAGCCCTGAATCTGTGGAAAGAGACACAGAACCTAGGAACTACGTGATCTCCAAAATGCCTTTCCTGGCCTGAAATTCCTGGTTTCCATTATTTTAACTAGTGAGTCCCCCAGCCTACTCACTGGCCACACCTCACTAAACTGTGAAATGTCCACAGATGTCTAGTTAGCTGCAGGCTCAGGAAGAGACAGATGAGAATGGGGAAGTGAGGCTATTTCCTTGCACAGGTTCTCTGAGGCCCATAGAACTCCTAGCCTAGAGTTCTTTCCAATGAAGTGACCAGGGTTCCATAACCATATATGGGCATGTGTGTATTCAACAAACACTAATTGCTCACTAGTTTAGACATGCCCAAATGAGCAATCAAGGCTGATCAGCAAAAACCTACGTGTTTATCTTCCCAATCTCTGCCAATGTCAGCATTCACTTCCCTTGCCCAAAATATCAAGAAGTAAATAAGAATCCTAGTCTTGAGGTTTGCAACAATGGTATCTTGATTATACTTCAGTCCAAGAAGGAAAATTAAGGTAACTACGGAGTTAGGCACACCCAAAAGTCGAAGTTTTGATATAGCACTGAAAGCAGAAAGACTACAGGATTCCTAGTGTGGACTACAACACTAAATTCCTGACCTCTGGCCACAAACGTCATCTATGGCTCACTCTCTTGATCCATAAAATGGGTCCCTTGTCCTTGCCCCTGGAATCCTAATGGGTATGAACGGCCTTTAGAAAGAACAAATCTCTGGGCACAAGTTGGTGATCATTGTTCCAGTCCATTTACTGTGATCACACACTTTTGGCCCCCTGTGCCCTGGGGACTGCGTATGCACCTGCGTATGAAGACCTGCAAAGGTTCCATTTACCTTCAAGGTGATAACCCGGCTAGGGGTCTTGATTTCAAAAGTCCCCTCCTCAGCGTCCGCCTTGCAGTCAAAGATCGCACCGGAGAGGTCAATACTGTCCAAGGGATTAGCATCCTGTGCCGTCCGCGAATAATACAGGTGGCATTTCCTTTCGTCGTAGAAGAACCAGCGGGTTTTCCAGCCCCGGATGGGCCCTTTACCGCCAAACTTACTTAAATACCCACAAAGTTTCTTGGGGGCCGCGTCCGGGGACCGGGCACAGTCCTCGGACTCCTCAGGAGGCCCCACCTCGGGGCTCCGGCTCAAGCCCGCAGGCTCTTCGGATCCAGGGGAGTCCTCCTGGTCACCCTTCATTGCTGCTAGCCAGCGACCGTGTAGGGAGGAGGGGCCCTCAGGACCGCCGAGCCCAGATCCCCAAGACTCTGGGGCACCTACCAGAGGCAGATACCTGAGCGGGGGCGGAGCCAGCGGTGGATCCGCCCACAGAAGAGGGCTGAGGGACCGAGCTGGCGGCAGGGTTTGGGTATCAATGACCGTAATTCCAGCACTCTGAATGGCCGAGGCAAGGAAGAGCGCAAGCTTTGAGCCCAGCTTGAGCAACTTAGTGAAATCCTGTCTAAAATTAAAAAATAAATAAATAATCTACAAACCCAGGCTGGGAGTGGCTGGCCCCGCCTCTCCAAACGCCAGCCCCGCCTCCACCCCCACCCGGCGCTCGCCTCTCTCCCAGGCCTGCCCACATCCGGCCTTTCCTTTGCCCGGGTCAGCCATCTTTGCTGAGGGCAGCCGTAGAGTGAGTGAGTGAGTGAGTGTGTGAGTGAGTGAGTGAGTGAGTGTGTGTGTGTGTGTGTGTGTGTGTGTGTGTGTGTAGCTTGTATAGTAAGTAACGCAGCAGGATGGCGCTTTCTACTGCATCTTGAGTCTCACATCTTTTCCTTACGGGTGCTATGCGGGCCACCGTCCGACAGGGCATCATGGGGCCATTGGCTGAGAGGAGGGCAGCGGGGCTCAGGACCCCATTTCCGGCGGCCGCTCTGGGCGCGCGGCTCGAGGCCCTTTCCTTCCCTCTTGGCGGTGAAGTTTCTTCAGCACTTCGGAGACTCTGCCCTGCTTCCCACTCGGTCTCAGCTCCCATTCGCCTCCTCTCTGTACCGGTGCCCCAGGATCAGGAGTCCAGGGGCGGTCACTGCGCTGCGGCAACTCAGTGACACAACTGTGCATGGTTGGGTGCGGTACGTTTCGGAAATAAAATCTCTTGGTTCTGACTTTCTCAACTTCCTGCCTCATTTTACCTCTTTCCCCTTAAGTTTTTTCCCTTCTCTCCCAAGGCGCCTTTCCGTGGCTGTGCAGTCCTTTCTGGGCCACCTGCAAGAGGCTTCATCCCTCTTGCTCCTCCTCTTTCTTCGGTTCCTGCTGTTACTTTTTAGCGTTTCCCCTCAGCAGTCCTTAGCTAAATCGTCCTGCACTGGCAGGGGTGATAATTGGAAGCAGGCTGGGTAAAAAGGCAAGGTTTCTGGAGTCCGTTTGCATGACTTTCAGATTCCAATACAACCCTTGAGCTATTTACACAGCCTTAGTTTTCTTGCCTATAAAAAGCTAATTATAACTTCTACCTCCTTACCCCGACGCCAGGCAGATTTTATGGTGAAGCAAATGAGCTTTAGGTTCAACTTGCCCAGAAATCTTGAGATTTATAGTCTTTTAGGTGGGGAGGTTGCAACCAGGAAGAATTTCTTATAAATGCTAGAAAAGATCTCTTAATTTTGTTACTTATTTTCTTATTTCTTAATAAACATTGATTATCATGCTTCATTCTGTGTTTATAATTTTATATTTTTTTCTTAGAAGGCCCTGTAAAAGTTTCAATCCGTACAAAATCTGGATCCACACCTGTCTCCCTCTGGAATTGTTTTGATAATTAGGGAAAATAATACCTGGGAAACAATACAGAGGATGGGGCCCAATAAATGTTAAAAAAATGTTAGCTGTAATTAAAGACCAATAAAAAAAACCCACAAGGAAAAAAGATTAAACCACAAAGACACTGGTACATTCTATAGTAGAGTTCACATCAATGAAAACTGGAAAATAAATCGAAATGGGAGATTCTGACACACCACCTTAGCCTATGGTAGACTCACAATAAAGTAACAGCAAAAAATAAAGAAGCAGATCAGAAGGTGATAAAGTTGACTTCAGTAGAAAATGTCTAGTCTTTTATATTGTGTTCCGAGTTAAAAATAAATTATTGGTTTCCAAAAAGTAGAATTGGCAAATACCTAGCCATAGTACATGAAATTTGAAAATATCAAAAGTAACAAAATCCAATCTCTTGGAACTAAAAATAAGTTACCTGATAACGGGTAAAAGGGAGATAAAAGCAGCCATTATAAACTATTTGGTAGGGAGAATGGAAGACAATTAAAACTATATGTCAAAATTCAGCACTGAGTGCCTTATCGTTTGAGTTATATTGACTCCAGTATCAGAATTTTAGCTCCAGTGAATATTAACTGTGACCTTGGGTAAGTTATCTGACTTTTCTGAGACTTAGTTTTCTCATCTGTAAAATGGTAATGATAATAATACCTGCCTTGAGGTGGGCATGCCTGTAATCTCAGCTACTGTGGAGCCTGAGAGAAGAGAATTAAAACTTCAAGTTCCCTGAACAACTTATCAAGTGGGACCCTGGGTCAAAATAAAAAGTAAAAAGGGCAGTGGATGTGGCACTGTGGTAGAACACTTGCCTAGTATGCACAAGGCCCTGGGTTTAATCCCCAGTACTGTGAAACAAACTAACATCTGCCTCATAGGCCTGAAGTGAGAATTACATAAGACTTATAAAGCACTTATCTTAGTACCTGTTGCCCATCAGTCACTCTGTGAAAAGCTGTTATGGCATGAGGCTGATGTTCTCCTAGGAAATGCAATGCCCCCTCAACCCCCAGGACAGTCCACTGCCTTCTTACCAAGCAACATCCCCAATTGAACCCCCCCCCACTGTTTTTGAGACTGTCTTACTATGTATTCTAGGCTGCTCTTGAACTCACTATGTGTGTTAGTCACTTTTCTCTCGTTGCTGAGATAAAATACCTGACACCCAAAGTTAAGAGGGGAAGGGGTTTGTAGAGGTTTCAGTCCATAATCGGTAGGCTTCAAGGCGGGGATGGCAAACAAGCATTGCAGAACAGAACAACATGGCGCACACACAAGGCAGCAAAGGTAACAAGCAGTTAACAATGTCTCCCTGACCCTTTTATTCAGACTACTTAGGGTGGGTAGCACTCCCACCCTTAATCCTAGTGCTCTTGAGCCTAGCACTGCATCATAATCAATTCCAGTTTCACACACTCTAGATTAAGCCTGTGACCACATGAAGCTTGGGGTGGGCATCTAGATCCAAGCCATAACACTGTAACCCAGGCTGGCCTCAAGCTTATGGTGATCTTTCTGCCTCAGTCTCTAGAGTGCTAGGATTATAGATATGTACCGCCATGCCTGGCTGGAAATTTAATATCTTTTAATGCTTGTACTATTTAGTAAAAATATAAAACAAGCATCCAACTGAGAAAAGTGAGAGAAAAATTTATAAACATAAAAGTTTATTAAAAAAAAAGACTAAACGCAGTACACAGCATGTGTAGTTGTGCTTTACAAGTTTTTTTGTACCTTAAAAAAATTTCACGCTCTTAGAGGCAGTTGCCCGTGGAGAATGCCTGGTATTGGGATACAGGGTAAAATTAGAATTTCAAATAGGTGAAACCTTATTTATATTCCATATTTACCTTATATCATCTGTCTTAGTCCATCCATATCACTATAGTGAAATACCTCAGACTGGGAAATTTATAAACAACAGAAATTTATGTTCATAGCTCTGAAAGCTGGCAAGATCAAAGCTGTAGCTGATTCAACGTCTGGCGAGAATTTGTTCTCTGTTTCAAAGATGGCGCCTTCTTGCTTTGTCCTCATGGCAGCAGGGGCACAGCCTCCCTCAAGCTTCTTTTATAAGGGCACTCATACCACTCATGAGAGTTCCACCTTCATGATCTAATGACCTCCTTACAGCCACACTTCATAATATTGTCGCAGGGCTAGGGATTCAGCTCAGTGGTCTGCCACCTGCTTTGCAAGCACAAGGACCTGAGTTCCATCCCTGCTACAAAACAAAAAAAAAACACAATATTGTCACAGTGGATATTAGGTTTCAACATGTGAATTTTGGATGTCAACATCCAGATGGTAGCACCAAGTATGAAAAGAAGAGTTTGGGTAGCTGAGAAAATGACATACAAAAAGTGAAGCCACAACATAATGCAACCTTAAAAGAATGAAATACTGATACATGCTGCAAAATGAATAAAACTTGAAGGCATTAAGTTGAATGAAATAAGCCAGACAAAGGGGCAGATATGTGATTCCACTTTATGAAGTCTAGAACTGGCAAATTTACAGAGACAAAGGATAACAGAGCTTGCCAGAACCTGGAGGAAGGAAGGAATGAGATTTATTGTTTAATGGGCACAGAATTTCTTTCCTTAAAGGAAGTTTATGGAGGTATGATTGACGTACAAAATCAATGCATCCTTCTTAATGACTTTGGATATGAGTATACACCTGTGAAACCATCACCACAACTAATATCATAGACATACATCACCTCCAGAAGTTTCCTGTTGCCCTCCTTTCTCACAGTAACAATAAACATGAGATCTACCCTGATAGCAAATGTGTCAGTGTCCTATAAGGTATTGTTAGCTGCAGGAAACTTGCTATCCAGTAGGTCTCTGGTACTTGTTCATCCTTTACAACTGAAATTTTGCATCCTTTGACCAACACCATCCTGCTTCCCCTGACAACCACCATTCTGTACTTGCTTCCTGAGCTGAACTATTTTAGATTTCTTTCATAAGTGCTATCATATAAAATGCCCTTCTGTGTCTGGCTTATTTCACTTACAGTAATGTCCTCCAGGTTCATTCATTTGTTGCAAACAGGCAGGTTCTTTTCTAAGGCTGACTAATTATCTATCCATCTCTCTATATCTGTCTGTGTATCTTTGTATCTGTCACATTTTCTTTGTCTATTCTAAGGATATAGAGTTTTCTGTTTGGAATTATGAACAAGTTCTAGAAATGGACAGGGGTGATAGCTGCACAACATTATGAATATAGCTATTGCTACAGAATTGAGCACTTAAACATGGTTACAGTGTTCTTACACATGACTCAAGTTTATCCTTTATGGCAGTGACACTCTGTTGTGTATAAATACATTTTTTAATCCATTCATCTGTTATGCTGTTTCCAAGATTTAGCTATTATGAATTGTGCTGCTATAAACATGAGTGTTCATACATCATTGTTGTTTGATACCTTTAACTCTTTTGGGAGGATACCAAGAAAGGAAATATCTGGGTAAAATGGAATTTCTACTTTTAGTTTTTTGAGGAATCTCCATACTGATTTCCATAGTGTTTGTACCAATTTATAGTCCCACCAACAACAGAGAAGGGTTCCTTTTCCCCCCACAGCCTTTCCAGCATTTGTTATTGCTTGACTTCTTGAAGGTAGCCATTCTTTTTGGAGTCATCAGTCTGAGTTTCTTAATAAACTGAGATTAAAAATTTAA